CACTGGTTTCATTATTACGTCGTTGATATTACCAAAGTTGTAGATTCACGAAATGAATTTACTCATTATTTATGTAGATTTCCTTTGTTTTAAACTCGTGCACTTGAAGGGGTCGTTTAATTGCACAGGGAATAATAGGCCTCAAACAAAATGGCTGGCAGGACGAGACAACGCAAGCTCGCTTGGATGACGTATGAAAATTCAGTCCTCAAAGACACCGTTTCTTAATGACAATTATCAGTTGAGTAATGCTGTCTAGATAAGTAATCACTATCTATTTTTGATAACGACTTGTTCCGAAGCATTCGTGTAGCTGTGGAAAGAACTTTGCACCTATTAATATGGCGTTATTAGGCCAAGACGTTGGAGAAATTGTAGGCTAATACAATGCCCGAATTTATAACTTGTGTTGGGCAAGGCCGTGGTCTAGGCAACACGGAGTTTTCCTCCGTGGCATACCAACAATTACTCCATTCACACACAGAAGAAGGCAATGGCAAACCACTTCTGGATCATCTGCCAAGAACGTATATGAACAGGTCCCAGTCCGAGAAAAGGATGGAAGGATCCTGTTCATATGGACCTGTCGTCAGACAGAACACTAAATAATAATAATAATAATTAAGTGTAAAACACTGAGAGTGACAGTGTATGATATATTGAAAGACAGCGGGTGAAATCTGTACGAATAGCTCGTCTGACTGACGTCTAACGCGACTTCATTTTGTAACTTCCGGGCGTCTACCGTCCTCCGGTACTTAATAAATCGAACTTCCGAGCTCTGGAAATGCATATTCGTTCTACTTTAGGGTTTTGTCAGTGTGCAACATTTCAGATTTCACACATTTTGCAGTTCCCGAAAGTTCTGATAAGCTCAAAAGTTTTGAGTTCTTGTCATCTTCATTATGCTCAGTGCAGCGAACTGTTTCATTAGCAGCTAATGGCGCTGACCTGTCTGTGCGGCTGAAATAGGCAACTGGCCGCGTGTACATGCCGATTAATTAATTATGGAAGTAGATACTGGCTGCAGGTAGAGTAAGGTTGAAGGCTTCGTCTATATTTTAATCAAAATACGAAATGATGCTGGCCGCATGTCAGCTGTAAGTGGCAATGACGCCAGAAAATTTAATGGTTGGATCCAGATATAGAAGGCGGTGTTCCGCAACACTGATGTTCGTAGCCGGTTTCTAGAGAACGTAATTTATTCAGCCGTAGAATTTCTGTTTACATTAGAGTTAAAATATGTAACAGCGTCGTGGAAGAAGTTTTGTGGTTCCCAGGCACTAAATTAACTGAAGAGACGATCTTCGTGACTTGCGTTATACGTTCAGTTTTTGGATAGGATCATCAGTGTGAAGGAATGAGGGAACAGGACCTTGGCTTATTTAAGGATATCGTATGGAATGATCGTAAAAGCACGTGAAGTTTATGGGTGTTAACTTATAGTGTAGACCAGTGGTCCCCAACGCGGTGCCCGCGTTGATACGGAAAGAGGTTATGTGGCCAACCCAAATGATCTTTCGGGCCACTTTGGAAATGCATCATAACTCCGCGGGCCACATATAAAATTATATATCCCCATATTAGATTTAGATACACTATAGACATTTTTTTGGAGTGAAAAATTGAAACATAATGAGTTATTATTATTGTGTTTACTATTATTCTTACATGTAAACAGATAATTTTTGAATATATGGATGCACAAATAATGTATTTTTTTAATACTTTGGCCATTATAAAATAAATATATTTTGTAAAAGTGTGATGAATCTCGCGGGCCGGAAAAATGTTCAAGGCGGGCCACATGCGGCCCGCGGGTTGGCCACCCCTGTCACAAACACTCAAATGTGCCCATAGGCACAAAAAGGTTTGGGGCACTGCTGTAGACCAATGCATATATGGACTACGTAGTTGGCCCCTAAGCTCTGTTTCCATGTGGCGTGGAGGTACAGAACTCCTGCAGTGCCATAGGAAGGCCTGGGGTACTCCATTTGACATTTATCGCTGTTTTATTCAGTCTCCCCAGGCAAATGTTGTTACGTTGTCTTAAGGAAGGCCAAATCCCTCCCGTTTCACTGTTAATGACCTAAGTATCATTTATCACATCCGTTTCTCGACCCTTATGTTCTCTCCGTCTTCACCACGCCCTTTCTAATGACTACCACTCCTATGCCCCGGGTTTGAATCCCGGATCTAAAAACAAAACTGTTCTCACCGTAGATTCTTATAGTTTTCTCGACACTCTTCATCCTGGATCATTTGCAATTAATCCTTTTATTCGTCGATATGTGACGTATGTGGTTGTAAATGCCAGGCAGTGCGGCAAACTTCGCCCGCCACGAGATGTGACTGATGCTGCCTGCCTTGGAGCAGAAAATGACTTTGTGGGTGCAATGCGGACCACGTGGCGGAACGCGCGAGACTTTGACGGTGTTTCGAAAACACTGCTCACTGTTTTCAGGCATAGCGAGTGCTACGAACGTTCTTGTACAGCTGGGGGCGTGTTAAGGACCGGGCGACATAACGGAACGTCGAAATATTTGGCTATTGCAGTATCAGACTGAGGTTGGCCAAGTGCACGATGTGAGCAGTCATAACTTTTGTTACGTACCCGCAGCAAATCTGGTGGACGGTGTAAGTTACTCCGAAACGTCGGGAACCACCTTAATGACCTTCACCGCCTTGAGAACCTGAAGTCTTTCTCACATTTGAACCTCATTCGATGGTTTCTAGCATTCGCAGTTGAAGGAGCGTCGACAAATAACAAGAATAAACCACCTTATATAAAGACGGAACAGAATATGAAGTACCTAGCCCCATTTTGCACTTGCGTGATCCTTTGGACGCGGGGCAGTCGCTGAAGGCCGAATGCAGTTCGGCGTTTCCTTCCGTTTCTAGTCATTTCATAGACGCAAAGCAATGTGATAGATAACCAGATACTCAGCTGGCAGCAGTGGGCACCCCTCAAAGGCTTGTTCAAACAAGTAGTTCCGGTGTATTTACATAATAATTCGCCGGAGCGCGCGTTTTTTTTTGCAGAATTCGCATAATTAACAAAATGTGCCAGGTTTCTTCTGTAGTAACACCGAGGATCCACTGAATAAAGTGTCTTTCGCATTGACCTAGTGACATTTGCGTAGCTGAAGCGGCTTCGAGTTGGGCCTGTCCGTGATGAAATGTCGGAAGTAATTCACAGAGACAGGGGCATGAACAGTGGACTTGGTATATTCTAAGTGAAAGTTGACCGGTTCCTCATTAGGCCTGACGCCCTGAGGATTCGAGGTTTTCCTCACTCACTGCCGGTAACCATCATAAAAGTATCTTAAAATAATCCACGTCGGAGGTTATTCCGAATTGATCATCCTCGGTCAATTGGTTGTCCTCGCTTGCAGACGCAGACAGAATTCCGTGGCATGTAATGGATTCGTTTACTTCGCCTCGTGTCTGTCGCCTTTGCATATTTAGCAGTTTAATTTGTGTTCAATTTGCTATCACTTTCTCAGCTCCGGTACGTCACTTCCGGAACCCGGTTGCCATGGTTTCCTTCAACAGGCAACTGTGTTGAGATCGTTCGTAAGGCTCCCGGTTCTAGTTGAATACGGCGTTCACATTTCTTAGGTCCTGCGCTGTTAATAAACTATATATTTCCCCTTTATTAGATGGGAAGATAATATTAAAAAAAATATATATATTTCAGAGACGAACTTGAATGGAACGATGATATTAATATTGATCTTGAACTAAGCGTAACGGAATGTGTGTGTGTGTGTGAACAGGTTTCAGTGGCGGGCTCTCGTGAACGCTGGGGTGTTCCGTGTGCCACTTGTTACTCGTAGCTGCGCCTGGAAGTTTGCAACTAACTGTTCTTCCTCTGACCCGGTGACAAAAGCCATTCGTCGGTTTCACCCGGAGAAAGCACGCGTGGACGATGTGGCTCTGGCGCCGGGCTGGGTTGCTTTCTATTATGTACGTTGCTGTGGCAATGCGTCCTCAGAAATCGCGTCTTCTTCGCCTGAAGCGTCACTTCACGGTGGAGAACAGAAAGTTTTGTTTGTTAAACAGTTGAAATGTAAATAAAACGCGGGGAAAAGACGGACGAAACATTAGAGATTTGTACAGTGGAGTAAATTAAGTGTTGCCAACGTCGAATTAACTCGACAAAAAAGTGAGAGAATTGGTTATCTGCTTGTGGATTCCCAAGGTATTTTTGAATTTGTGGATGAATCACTTTTGTCAGCTGCTGGATGGACCTTGGGTTAAATGATATTACGCAGACCGACCATTCTGTTTGTACATCTGAGCCATTAATACTTGAGCGTATCTCTTCTGAGCGTGGTATTTCTGTTGAGAAAAAAATGAAACGGTATTAACGCCAGATATTGATCAAAGCTCAACAAGATTTACCCTAGGGGGGGGGGGGGGGAGGACTTACACTACCTTACATTGGTAAGTCTATTTGGATTTTGGAAGAAATCTCAGTGCACAGGAAGGAATCGATTATTGCACTTATTCATAATAAGGGAGACGAAACTGAAACATGGCATAGTACATCACGCAGCTGAACGAGTAACTGTGATCACGTGATATGTGGGATTACTGAGGCTTGATGAATTTTTATATATCAATTATACGTTCGAAATGAGACCGCTACATGTTTCCTACCTCGCTGGACGCCCGATTTTATGCGCATGTAAACAACGCCCTGCATGAATTACTTGTACCGTTATTAACATAAATATTTAAATGCAAAACGGTCACACACGTCGCTCTCCAACGGCCATTGCAGACAGAAAAAAATATACAAGATGTTCCTTCGGGAGATAATTATTCAGCTGATCCAAGGCTTATCACCGTGCTTACAAAAGCTCGCCGTTGGAAAGTGTCTTCAACTATTTGCAGCCCCGTTTTCAAGTCCAGTTTTAATATTATCCTCTCAACTTCTCCTATGTGTCTCGTATTTATCTCGTTGTTATAATGATCGCCTTCTTTATTTTCAGGTCCGGAGAAAAGCTGCCACATCGCATAATTACAGGTAAGAATGCCGGAAACAATCCTCGAGTTTCTGTGTTTCCTTTCATTTTCTTCCTGTAGCAATACCCCAACCCTGTTATCTTTCTACTCATTCTCCGGGTTCCTTAGCCACCTTTTATTCATTTCAAATTCTACTGCGTTTTGTTTCCTAATTTGTTTCTGAATTGCCTCCTTCAGTTACGATCAAACGGCCCTGTAGTTTGTATGAAAATGCGATACGTGCAACTTCAGTTTTCTTAATCGTAACCCTTACATTGCCTCGTTTTTAGAGAATTTCTTGAATTTTTCTAGTTTTCTTTTTCACACGCCGTATTTTGAGGTCTGAGTTAGATCTCAACGCTTTGAAGCCTGAAACTCATCTGAATAATATTCAAGGATTCAGTCCGTACCGCAAAGAGAACACGACACTTCACTATTAAAAGATCAGCTAGTCAACGCCGTTTAAGGAAATAACCGCTAATTGAATCAAAATTTCCTTGGATATTATCCATCGTCTAGTAAATATAAAACGTAAAAACGACGTTTCGGAGATGGGACTCTATCTCCGTCTTCAGGTTCCTACACAGTGGGGCCCACTAGATAGAGCTAATCCCTATCTCCGAAACGTCGTTTTACGTTGTATATTTACTAGACGATGGATAATATCCAAGAAAATTTTTATTCAATTGACTTTTCACCATCGTCAAGAAGTTTTAGATTTGAAATAACCGCTGTTTATTCTGAGAATCATAGGAAACATCTGTAGACAGAACGCGGGCCTACTTACTGGTATATTCGAGATATGCGTTCATATAGATCTGACCTCCCTTGTACACAAGGAAAATTAGAATGAGTTTAAAATTCTTGCAGGTCTCTTAAACATCGTAATCACATTTCAGAGATGTTGAGACGGGCTGGGCATGTAGAATGGGTAGGAGAAGGAAGTTTTATATAAAACAGGACGTTTTTAATGCCATGCGTCAATTAGGCGCATATGTCGTTGTTGCGCCTGGGATCTGTATCCAATGTTTTAGCAAAATATGCTGTGGTTTCAGACCGTCAGAGAGTTCGCTGTGTTGCGAACATTGTGCTTTTGGGTCCGCGGTTTTGACTTCATTTTTTGCTGAAACAGATCGTATTTTACCACGCAGATGATAGTCGAGGCACGTACTATAACAAATTTATTTACCGACTCTCTTTTGCAGTATAACACGAGATTTTAATCGAATGGTAACGAGCAAATGTTGTACGGTACACTAATTTTTTCTTTGATTCTTATGGTAACCGAGATTGTGTAGGTCGAAAGACTGGAGAGTCTCGTGATTTTCCTCAGTGCCTGCAGGTGAATACTGCGATACTGATCACGAACGCTTTCTTACGCGTGCTTTATAATTTATCACCATTAATAATAACAATTCGATGTAGAAAGTCTTCGTAAAATAATCTAACATGCATTATTTCTGATGATTATAACGCCTAAGTAATTTTTGTCGCAGAGATATTATATTTTTGTGAAACTTCGCGGTAAGTAGACACTTTTGTGTGATGTAGGAACCACAAAATGCAGACGAGTTTCCTAAATTAGAGTGTTGAGATACGTTTCAAGTCCTTACTCGCCGATAACGCCTAGATCGCTCAAGACAACGAAAGAATTTGGCCCCGAGATGCCAGCCGATATCATTGATTCTCCGCATCTCACGTGATGTTTGTTCAGAATTTCCACGAACCTTCAATGTCTCGTGCTAGAATATGAAACGGTTAACAGCTGAACGTCTGAAGTTGGAAAAGGAAAATACATTTAAAATATTTAAACAGTTTATAAATATCCAAATGAATGAAAGCCTTAAGGAAACGTAAAGTATAAAATTTCACCAATGTAATTCCTTTAATGCAAGACGGACGGAATTTGCGAAGTTTAAAAGAGAATGAATTATATAGTTTTTTTTAAGAGTGCCAGAGGGAAATAGCGTCGACTTTTATGGGGGCTCGGTAGTTGTTTTATGTGTTTTCAGACGTGTTTTCCTGCAGCCAGAAAATAAATTATTTTGATGTTTATGACGAAAACACGCCTTATGTAGAAACGCGGTGATTATTTGTATCCACGATAACCGCTGTCTTCCGGCATATTCCTTGAAAGGGGATTCCCCTCACCGTTTGCCGTCTTGTTGGATGCGTACCTTTAGGATGAACGTCTTCGCTTCAGCATTCGCCGACCATCGTGTTCACGCTTTCATTTGAGATTTTTATTCATCGACGTCGATAAGGCATTTGATTTTCGGAACTGCCATAACTCTTAGTATTTGTTTATTTGTAGTGTTCTGTCTGAGGACAGGTCCATATGAACAGGATCCTTCCATCCTTTTCTCGGACTGGGACCTGTTCATATACGTTCTTGGCAGATGATCCAGAAGTGGTTTGCCATTGCCTTCTTCTGTGTGTGAATGGGATGCCACGGAGAAACCGGGGAAGCCCCCGGAGGAAAACTCCGTGTTGCCTAGACCACTGCCTTGCCCAACACAAGTTATAAATTTGAGCACCACCGGGAATTGAACCTGGGACCCCAGGCTTACAAGGCTAGTGTTCTGACCGCTAGACCACCGTGGCGGTAACTCTTAGTATAGGGAAACAAAAGTGAAATAAGGCGAATAAGAAGGGGACACGAGGTGGAAGTGAGCTACATACCCCAGTCTTGCGTGAACCGAGAGAGTTTTTTTATGGATCATATTTTTATATAAACCGCCAGGTGGCAGCATAGTAAGAGTCCGATACAGTAGCAGCCAACGTTTCATTACTGCTAAAGAGATTAACATTATTTTCATCTGAATGACTAGGCCGTAAGGGTGATATTTGAGGAAAGCTAGCTTTAAATGAAATTACTATCACGTCATAAGTCGACCTTACGTGTGTGTGTGCGCTGCAGGGTATAAAAATGCTTAATGAAGTCCTGTAAAATAATGACTGGTGGGTTAAGAACCGAGCGATGGGCCGAACGTTTGTATAATTGAGGCTGTGTTGAGCTACCGGCGGGCATGAAAAGTTTCAAAACACGTTCATTGTCGTTTTAAATCCGTGGAAATGGCCTGTTACTAAGTGACGTATAGTCTTGTCATTGGGTAACAAGGAAACATGAACTATTGGAAAGCAAAGATTTAAAATGTGTTCTTTTTTTATTACAAATCGCTGCGAATCTGTGATTACTTCTGTGACGCGTATAAGGCGTGACAATTTTTTATAACAAAGGAAAGACGGTCAGCTGAGAAAATGTCAAAATTTCAAAATGCGTTTTATCTCTGCCAGCCTCCAATTTGGATGGTAGGTGTAGACAAGGACATACGTTCGTGTATCATGTATTGAATATGATTGAATTTGTTGGAGAACTGACAGACATGAGGTCTCGATGGCACAATACAGGGGGATGTTAACTCGTGTTTGTCGCTGGTAGGTGGTCTGGTTCTTTTTAAAAATATTTTTTTAGAATTTTCAGTCTCTGAGAAATTGTTGGGAGGAGTAAAAGTGACCAAATGTTGAACTTCTATAAATTGGTTTTTTTTTTGATTAGGGGAAGACTTTTGAAATTATATTATTTTAATAGCAGTTTCACTACGGACACTCTGTATTATATCGGTGCCCTGTTACAAATCGATGTATAACAGAGTGCTGTGGGAAATATTTGTCCCAGAAGGGATGACTTAACTGTGGAGTAGAGGCTCCCGTTTATCTAAGGAATAACACTTCATCTGGTAGGTGCTTCGGTTGAATCAAGAACGGTACATGTCCCTTAATATTATGACGATGACTGTGCTAATATTAATGATACAAGACTGTATATAAATTGCCGTTATCATAATCACGTGAAACGTAAAGATTAAAAAAAATGCAATATATTATTCTCATGCGCGTGCTACATGCCCCGCCAATGAGGCTTACTTTTAGGGTAATAATATTGTTGTAATATTTGGAAGGAAATTATGTTTTAAAACACCCGGTATTTGTGCACGTGTTTTGCTGAGATGTGTGACGATGTAATGAGAAGAATATCTGTGTATTAATGTTTGTCAAAAAAAAAAAAATAGCAGCTGGTCGAGACAATGCTCTTTATGTGGGCAGGGCCCAGTAATTTACATTCGAATCCCATGATTTCAGGGCCCAGAAATGTTACCCTGACAATGCATCAGCTTCGCCTGACCCAGGGCGTTGGTCACCAGTTTGTTACTTCAGTGCGTGGACGAGATTTTCGCGAGTTGATGTATTGTGCGCAAAACGGGTATAACTCCATCTACGCTAATTCTTGCAACTGTACGAGTATCCTATTTTGATTATCCACTGAAATACAATTGGCAGAAAGTCACGTGCGCGGGGGTGAGGACGGGTTCCTGGGGGTTTGTAGAAGACTGAACTGTTGCATGGGGATTCACAGGTGGCTCTCAGTAACTGGCAAAGATTAATGAGAGAGAGGGGGGGGAGGCATTTCTTTGATCCAGAGTTCTGTATCGCCGACGTATTTCATCTGTTTCTGTCATCTCAATCACTCTCGTCTCCAAGCGGTGTGAACCCTTCAGCATTGAAAGTGATCTTCACACAAAGAGGAAGGGAAATTTATTTTTATGACATGCCACACTGTCAACACTGTTGACATTCAGTCAGCTACATGAGTTATTTAGATTGACTCTCATATGGCGGATATAGTTGTGAATATCAGTTTATATTTTCGTAGGCGGTGCCCAAATTTATAACTTGTGTTGGGCAAGGCCGTGGTCTAGGCAACACGGAGTTTTCCTCCGTGGCTTCCCAACAATTACTCCATTCACACACAGAAGAAGGCAATGGCAAACCACTTCTGGATCATCTGCCAAGAACGTATATGAACAGGTCCCAGTCCGAGAAAAGGATGGAAGGATCCTGGTCATATTGACCTGTCGTCAGACAGAACACTAAATAAAATATAAAATAAAATTACAGTTACGTAATCTGTTCGATTACTTGTGACATATAACAGTACTTTCTTCTCACGGTTAAAATGCT